AAGGTAACTTTTATGACTGTGCATTACAGTGAYTAAAGATCACGCCTACATGGAAATTCAGGACATGCAAATATAAAAAATAYTTCTGTACAAACAGAAGTAGAACTTCCTTTATTCTAAGCAAATCTATTTATTCTTTGGAAACTGCCTCTGTTCTGCTCTGCTCTCTTCCTTYCCAAACTCCTCAAGATTGTTGCTTTAGAAGAAAAGTGGCACAATAAATTACAGCACGGCCAAATCCCATAACAGACCTCTTCGSTCCTATACACAATGAAGGACAGACATCAGCTTTCTCAGAATTTCACCACAATTTCAGCAGCTACTCCCTCTCAGGAGGGCAACACATGCACAGATGTAGTGGCCTGGTGGATCTGTACCGAGCCACCACGGCAGCACTTGCCACTGCCTATGAATAAATGCTCTAATTAGTACTGCTACAGTGGCTGCAATGCTTTGGAGGAGGAATGAAAATCTTATTATTTATTTTCATGTCCTCTTTTTTAGTAAACATATTTCATTAGAGCTTTAAGTCATAGACATAACAATAATTTTAGGCTCRGCAAGAAAAACAGTAATTGCAAAAAACTTCTCTACAATTATTACGACATAGAATTTTTAAAATATATTAAAATATTAGAGTGGGCTTGTACCATGATATAGGCTTAATAGCATGATCAAACTGGAATACTACTAACAGCTTGAGGGACTTTCATCTGTCCTAGCCCACGCTCACAGACCTCTGCCCGTAGCTGGGTTATTCAGGCACATGCAGAATCAAGGTTATTCAGGCAAACACAGCTCATCCAAGAGAAGTTGCAAGTGTAAATGCAAATACACAGGAAAAGCTGCTGTAAGCAGTAAAGCTGGCTCTGTGTCTGTAGCCCACGAGTGTGGAAGGCTGTTGATACAGCTGCATCCACTCTCCGCGCTCTTTGCCGGCAGAGCACGTTACTTTGCTGTCCCAGTCAAAAGCTCCATGCRGCTCAAGCCCCTGAACAGCATTTCTTTCACTCCCCAGACAGTTCTTTTCCAAGTGTTGCCACACTCTGGAACATGCTTCATCTCTTGTTGAAGCAACTCACTTTTTGCCACTAATATTCTGTAGGAATGCCTGATTTTCTGCTCCCAAAGAGCAGAAGCTGAGCAGGCAAAGGCAGAGTACTACCAATACTGACTTCTCTGAGCCATGAACAAAACCGCATCTGACACAAAAAGCAGATTTTAGGCAAAATTTTATGAAGAACACTTTCCACATTTACACCAGTTTTGTTTTTTTTTAACTTGTACCAACAATTKCTTTCCAATTACAGTGGGAACTGTATTCTATTAAGGAATGAATTTATTGGAGTTTCAAACAACTCCTTAACTCCTAAAATCCATCCCTCTATTCTGACTAACGTTTTACTCTTTGAACCTGAGAACAAACACACCCACAATAACCACAGCAGCAGGTATGGCATGAGCCAGCTGGGAGCTCGGGATGCCTGCACCCTCGCCCAGCTCCAGGCACAGRAAAAGCCATCACGGGAAAAGCATTTCTGCATTTCACATGTCAGAGACCCCCCCTTCCCCAGCGCTGCTCCCCCGAGCAGCAGCACTGTCAATTAAACGCTCATGATACCGCACGATATTTTTATCCCGTGTTTGAAAATACGCACGGTAATTAAACCCCATGTGTGCTCTGTTAGGAATGATAACGTACGATCTGGTGCAGCCATCTGAGAGAGGCTTGGAATTTATTTCGGTTTGGTCCTGTGGATACTTTAAACATACAAAAATGCTCGAGCAGCACTTTTCAAGGTACAATGTAAACCAGCTTTGCAGAGARAATGTCACTTGAAATGGTAGATATATTGATGGAATCAAAGAATCTGCTTAAATAAACAATATGTGAATTCAGATTTTTCTTGTCTGCTTTATAACAAAAAAAAATTTAAAAACTGTAAGGTAATGTTACCAATTCAACAAAATAGCAGCAGAGATAAGGTATCAGTAAATGGTTAAACCTCATTTCCTTGCCTTGTGACTATTTAAAAGCRATATTGCTGTGCAACTAATTTTATGTAAGGAATAGTTGCTCCTGCGTTCCCAATAAAACCGTGGCTGYATTTTATGTGCATTCCTCGGTGCTGGGCACAGGCTGCCTGGCTCGGGGCCCCGTCCCTCAGCCGAGCCGGGAGAGCTCTGCCCCAGCTCTGCTGTCAGAGAGGGAGCCCCGGGGTACCGAAAAGGGAACGAGAAACCAGCCACTGCAGCTATAGGACACGCCAGAAAAAACAGCAACAAAAAATCCAAAGAAGTAAAATTCTGCAAATTGCAAATACTTGTGTATCCTCAAGCTTACCCTTTTCATCAGGAATTTGAAGTGAGAGCTGCATTTTCTCTGAACCACAGTTTAAGATAAAGTACTAAAGCTTTATCTGCCAGCTCTGATACAAAAGTTGCCTTATAGCTGAAGGAAAACAAAGGCAGGATAGTAACTTCAGTCCCCAAAACCACT